GTGGATCTCGAGATGAAAACTCGTTACAGACGAACACACAGACACACACACATACATACATACACAGACAACCCCTCGACAATATGCGTTTTTGCATTGCATAGTTGCAAAAAACGCATAACAAAGCAAGTGAGAGAGAGAGCGATTACACTTGAATATTACGAAAATAAACTCTTAGTCAGTAAAACGGTGTATGAATGTATTCGCGACAAGCTACGGATGCGTAAGACACACCAGAAAAACTTGCCTGATAAAAACTTAAGTAATTAATAATCCCCCTTCCTTCATAAAAGAAATGTACTTGAAAAAAAAAGAAACGCATTAATAAGAACAGACGCGATACCTCAACGAGTTCCGGGAGCAGCTTTGCAACTTTCGAAAGCAGTGCTCGAGTTGGAATTTGTGAGCACAAAACGACCAGTTGAACCTTAAACAAATTTTGAAAAAATTCCTGTAAAAATGCCTCACAGCACTGCAGCAAATGTTTAGGAATTTATGCAAATTTTAAAATGAAACTTCATGCCCCTCTTCCATAAAAAGAAAACAGTAACAAGACAAAAAACCCACCTCTCTATCGTTATTCAAAAGTAAGCCTTTTGCAAGGAGGCCGACACGCATAACACCCTTAAGGACACGATCTGGCTGTAACCCATCAGCGCTCGACGGTGGAACACCATCCGTTTTCTTTTCCTCCGTCCCTTCTTTTTTGGCCTTTTGTGACTCTCTAAAAAAATGCCAACTTTAATAGCAATACCAATTAACAGCAGTTTTGGTCTTTGCGGTCACTGTCCTCGCAGTTCTGGTCGACGATGGAGTGCTGCCATTCAGTACTGAAGTAGTATTTTTAAAAAATAATAGGTGCCAAAATGACTCTTGGAATTTTTGTACTATTTCAAAATGCCTTGGGATGCTATGAGCCAAAATTTATGCCCCCCCCCCCACACTCTCCTTCCGCCCCTTCGAAGTCCACCTCAAATGGTAAAAGAAAGAGCAGGTTCGGGCGATAGTATATGCCAATACCAACCACCCAATGGCAAAATTTGTTTGGAAAATTGCCGAAAAAGCGAACTGAAGAAAACTTGCTGGCAATGAAATATGTAACTGCTGAATTTCTGCACGTGAAATTCATTTGAAAAATCACGCAAACGGGCCGCGAAGGTGAGAAAAAAAAAGCATACTCTTCAGCAAGTTTATCCGAAACAGCTTTTAGCGCTTTCTCCGTCATCGTAACAAGTTCCAAAATCACTGCCAGCTGCGATTCCTCCGGGTATATCTAAATATCCGCATTGAAAAAAGGTTAGAAATTTCGCAAAAGCATTGCTCCTCCTTGCCCAATTACTCATCTCCTAAACTGTTTGAAAATTCAGCTTTACTTGCCGCATTATTCTTTTATTTCCTGGTTATGCTTCCCAAACTGAACCTGAAAATGGCAACTAACCAAGCGATGTTTCGCCATGACATGCCGATCTTCAACAGTCTCTGCTCGTCTGCCCGGATCCATAACTCCACACCACGGGCGAACTGGTGGCGGTGTAAACAAAGGTTGCGGCGGACCAACGGGACGAGGCCTAAAAAAGTGACGCTTCAGGAAGACTGGCAAAATATTTTGGGTACTACTGCCCTACACTAGCAGGAACATTTCACAAGCCGTGATCATCTATGCTTCTTTAGAGGCAACACTTAGGCTGGGAAAGCGTGACTTTAGTTTACGCCTCGAAGTTGGCTGATTGCCAAAAACAAGATTAACAGTCCGAACAACAGATGTAGGGATTCGGTATCAGCTACACTAGTGGGACCTAGCCGAACGCCGAGCGAAAAAAATTCGAGCTTTTCGACCCCGAGCTGCATACCTCCAGAAGGTATCTACTGTCTGTTCAATATGCATACTATTTCCCGAATTTCTTCGTCTCTCATGCAGAGCAAATACGAATGAAATATTGAATTTGAAATTAAAACGCACGCAACAGGAACTCGTGGTTTCGGTCGTAGTTTACGTGCCATTTCACCTCGCATTTCACGTGGAAACTGACTCGGTCGCATTTCAACTACCAGATTTGGATTAACTTTCATCTGCAATTTTCACTTATGCTATGAGAAAAAGCCAATTTTTGCTAAACAATTTCCAAATTGCTAGTGCATCCGATCGTGGTCCAGAAATGGCAACGTTCAAGGACCAGCATACACCAACGGCAATTCGAAACGGCTAAAGTTTTGCCTGGTGTTCCCGCAGAGAGAACTTTCGAGCTAGCAATCCGTTTAGAAGACGAATCGCATGACAGGCTCGACAGCGGGCTCTGGGAAGGGATCAAATCTCCCATTCTCACCATGTCCGGATCTTATCCAATACAACTAGCGGGCCTCATGCTTCAAAAAATAACTGAAGCTGAAGCACTGAAGCATTCATGTCTCCAAGTTATTCACTTATTACTCAATACTATCAAACGCTGCAATCACACCCTACGCCCCCTTTGCAATATTGGTCACTTTTAGCTGATGAACCAAATACAGAAATCTCCGCACTGCATAAGCTAACGTTGCATTAGACGAATAACAAGGGGAGGAGGAAAGCGGGAAGTAAAAATTAGTTAACGTCAGTGCCCTCTTGCACTTCACTGTTTATGAATAGTGACTGTCAGAAATTACCACCTAGCTGTAGATCAGCAAATTCCGGAGCTGATGTTGGTTTTAACTTCCTGGCAAATGAAAACACCAAAGCGATCGATAAACGGTGCACGGGAACTGATTCCCCCAAAGGTTAGAATTCAGAGTAACTTCTCAAGCCAGGGAACATAATGCCACTTAGCACTGAGCAAGCAGGCCAGCACAACAAAAAAAAGAAACTACCTTATACTGTAATCGATGTTTTCGCCCCTTAATGTGAATATTCTTAGCATTTGGATCACTGAATTTGCAATCGCACAGCTTGCAGTTGTACTGAATCAATTTGCCAGCTGCGTTTCTCTCCTCTTCAACATAATCTTCGCCAACCGGTTGCACTTCCTTTTCAGCAGCCAAAGCAGCCTGGAATGAGGTGGAAACATATCAATCTCTCAAAAATCTCACATCCTCTGCTTTAAAAAAAACCTTTAGAAAGCCTCCCTCTTCCAAAACTTCCCAAAATGGCTCCCTTATCTATTCCAATTAATGCAAACATGAGAGACAGAGAAAGGGAAAAAAAATACTGAGCGCTGGCTAATTTTCAACGTAAAGCAGTTCTTATTTAAAAGAAGTTAATTTATTCATCGTAACCTAAAAATATTCTCAATTTTGTCACTTTTTCAGAACGTATTTTCACTCATCAACAACAACAGGCATCAACAACAACAGGCATAGGTCCTGCGATCGAAGCTGCGGCAGTAATCAGCCTGCTAAGCAATAATTTCAAGCAATTTTT